GTTCAAGCCGGGCGAAGCGAATTGCATTATACTCTTTCAGTACACTTTAGTCAAGTAGTATCAAGTACTATTGTTTTATATTTAGCATTCAGAGCTCACAAATTTTAGAAGATATAATAAACTAAATATATAAATATATAATAACTATAACATGGGCCCATTAAAAATGGAAACAATGAAATATTATTGAGGTTTGGAAAACATACAGAAATAAATGTCATTATCACATTCCGAATGTTTCATTACAAAAGTCCATCTTCAAGAATAGTTATTCAACAAACCCAAATTGCTGCTCAAAGGCAAGTTACAGATCTGTTTCTGGAGTTGCAAAATACTGTTTTCTTTAGCTCTTTATCTGGGGATGACCAATCTTAAAAGAGGGCCAACAGTAGTACACCTATCAAATGGAGCGACTATAGCTCAATAACTGTGGGCTTAAGCTTTGACAATTTACCACGGGTTCAAATAGTAAAGGCAATGTCTTTAACAAGCTCGCAGATATTGCGAGTATATTAGAATTTTAGTTTTAATCCGTCATACGAGCAACATCAACTACCCTTTATTAAACGTCTATGACAACAATTTTTATAGCATAACTACAAGGATAAAAGAAACTGCAACAGTTAGCTTACATACTTGGTGTCACATAATCACATACAAGCATATATGTATATGTTAAAGCTTAGATGCGACATCTAACATTAATTTTCGATTTTTATACCCTGAACCCATTTTCAATGGGAAATCAGGGTATAATGGTTTTGTTGAAATGTATGTAACAGGCAGAAGGAGGCGTGGCAGACCCCACAAAGTATATATATTCTTGATCAGGACGACGAGCTGAGTTGATTTGGCCCTGTCCGTCTGTCTGTCCGTCCGTCTGTCCGTCTGTCCGTCTGTCCGTCCGTCCGTCTGTCCGTATGTATGAACACGTCGATTTCCGAAGATATAAGAACTAGAGACTTCAATTTTTTTTAAATGTCCGTAATTACAGCGCGGATATCAAGTTTATCATTAAAAATCGATAACTCACCCCGATCTTTTTTTATCGATAAAAACCTTATCGAAAACCAGTTATAAAATTATATCTCCTACACCTTTATTGCTAGAGTCTCCAAATTTTTTAAGCATGCTTATATGCAATTTATGCAATTTCGGTTTTGGTTAAAATTTACCCCCCACACCTATGTCCACCCCCTCTCCCTCATGTTTGTAAAAAGCGTATTTCAAATACTAGAGACTTGTACTTTGGCAACAACATGCATATCCATGTTGTTATCATAATCTAAAAGTTTCATGAAGATCGTATGTCCACAAAAACAGTTATTAAACAATTAAGTTTTCATAGTAAGCCAACACTGCAGCCCATGCGTGTTTATGCGTGGGTGCTTGTGTGTGTATGTGTTTGTGTATGCGTGTGTGTGTGTGTGTGTGTATGTGTTTGTGTATGTGTATGTGTATGCGTGTGTGTGTGTGTATGTGTGTGTGTATGCGTGTGTGTGTATGTGAGTGTGCGTGTTTCTTGTGTAAGCTGAAAGACGCGAAAAATTATTGAAATAGCTATTGCTCCAAGGGTTCAGGGGATCTCGTAGTCGAGCAGTATCGACTATAGCTTTCTTACTTGTTTTTTTTTTTTCAACTTCAACCGCCCATAAAACATGTAATATTAGCTGAAATTGAAAAAGTAAAAATGCTAAATTGTAGATTGAAGAATTATCTTTCCGATGAGTTATATAACAATATATATTTGACATAACTTACGAAAATTATACATAAGCCGAAAAATCCCAAAATTTGGCGTTACTTTAATATTCGGGTTTTTTTAACAAGAAACCAAATTCGAGCACTATTAATAATCTTCTAATAATTTACCTGTAACCATGTCTTTATGTAAGATATTTAAGATATCGATGTTTTGTAAACTCGTTAGTCTACTTGTCTTCTAATTTTTGTATAGAGGTCAGGTCTGGGGGCTGTGGAGGTCTTTCCAAAAGTTTTGGGTAACTGCACAGTAACCATGACTCGACCCTTTTAGGGTCATTGTCCTGGAACAGCTTATATGTGTCTGAAATACCCATTTTCTCGAGAAAATCAATGGTTTTGTTGAAATGTATGTAACAGGAGGAAATGTATGTAACAGAAATAAAATGTATGTAAAAAGGAGGCGTGGCAGACCCCACAAAGTATATATATTCTTGATCGGGGCGACGAGCTGAGTCGATTTGGCCCTATCCGTCCGTCTGTCCAAATGTATGAACGCGTCGATCTCAGAAGAGAGCTAGAGACTTCAAATTTTAAGATGTCCGTTTATCTCCAAAAATCGATAACTCATCCCGTTATTTTCTTATCAATTAAAAACATTATCGCAAATCAGTCGTAAAATTATATCTCCTACATATTTTAAATATATATTTAGATGCCTGCGGGTGTGCATGTGCGAATAATTATTGAAATATTAGTTGCTCAAAGGGTTCAAGGAGTCTCGTAGTCGAGCAGTCTCGACTAGAGCTTTCTTACTTGTTATTTACAGTTTTAGTTATATTATCGCGGTTTTCATACGGGTGCGTATAGTGTCTAAAAATGTGCTATAGTCTATGTTAATCAGATATAATGTAAGATTTGATGGCTAAATCATGCTGCAAATAGGCTCAGTATTTTTTATGCTATTCAAAAAGGAAAAAACGACAAAACGGAAATTGCACTCAGCCAATACTTTCATTCACTTCGAAACGTGGTATAAATATATAGCGTGGAGCATGGAGCATGGAACATGTTGCCAGCTAGAGCTGGTACATAGCCATCAAACTTTACATAACAATGCCAACAGGTTTTTGCGCGGGCTTAGCATAAAGCGTGCCTGGCCTGTCGTCGAATTAACATTTTGATTGGATTTTCCAATATTGCACCATATGGCAGAGTTGGGAGCTCTGCAATTGACTTTGATGACTGACTGGGGCGCCGTGTTTACGTTCCTTTTTGATATTTCAACAAGCATAGGGCATTTGCAAATTACTCGATAAGATAAACCGTTTTTTATTGTTTATGCAAAAAGTCTAGCGACCTCAGAATTGTTTATTGAAATCAAATTCCCATATGGTGAAATGTGATAAGTCTCCGCAAAGCCCTTAGTTTATCTGGGGAGCTGCTTCCACGACCTCATCAGTATTGGCAACAGCTTCAGGAACTTCATCGACATCTGTGACAGGCGCAACTGTGCTTGTGGCGACCACGACGCGAGGACCCCAAAAGCGGCGGCCGAAGCGTCTGGGTCGGACCTGACCGAATCCGCCCCAGTATGGGTTGAAGCCGTATGGGTTATACGGGCCATAGTTCTGGGCACCGAACTGTCCCCAGTACTGGGGGCTAACCAAGGGAAGAATGGGACGAGCAGCTACAGCGGGCACTACTCCCACTCCCGCTGGCTCTTCCTCAATTGCAGCTACGGCAACTGGTTCACTGACAATGGCAGGTTGGACGGCCAGCTTGATGAGGGGCTTGCGTAAGAGTGGTGCACGAACACTGATACTTGGTGCCTGCGCCGCCACAACGGCCATCAAGGTGATGAATACAAACGATTTGAGGCAACGCATTTTGGATTTCAAGTCCTGTCCTCTACTGATTCCGATTCGCACTGTTGGCTGCTTTTATCGCAAAACGAGTACTTCACTTTTGCCATGCATATTGATTCAATTAATTTCTCTGAACCCACCAATTGTTATAATTCAAACGTGCATATTATGCGAATCTCAAGCGTCAAGCGGTCGAGGTATTTACTTAGCTTGAGGAAAGTTAACTACGGTTTGGGTGGTTGCCATTAGAACAAGTGTTTCTTTGTATGTTCTAGAAAGAATCCGAAAACAAGTCTCCACGGCGGCTTAAAAAGCTGTTCAAATAAAACTTCTGTTTTTGTACCCTCTTACGCACTCTAACTGACTTCATTTAAAGCGGTAAAAACATCTAAATAATGGTATACAAAAAATTAATTATTATATTGTTTGCAATACGGCCAAATTTTTGGCGAGCTCTATTTAACGATGACAATATAAATATAATTAAACCTATGATTCAAGCGCTACAGAGCCAAAAAGTACAATCAAAGGTAGCATTAAAAATTCCGAATGTTTCTAAAGCTAAATAACTTTCTTTAATTAATATTTTATTGACCTAAATTCTTTCACAATTATATCTTCCATAATAATCTGAAAAATAAATCTCAGGTATGAGTACACGAGTATTTATTAGACGGCTAAATTCACTCATTATTGTCAGGTCTATATACTCTTTGAACTCTGTAAACAAACAATGAAACATTGAAACAACAAAAAATAAATAAATCAGGAAACTAAACCAAAGCATGTAACAGGACGGACACCGAGATAAACTAATTAATAAACTTGAATCAAGTTGTTTACTTTGATTATCTCAGTCAGTGACAGCGTCAGATAAGTAGGGCAAAAATCATATATGTATGTATGTCTATCGGCATGGTATCGATGTAATTGCCAATTGACGTCATATATTTATATTTATTTATATATGGATATGGGTATACCAATAAGAGTAGGCGTGGCAGCCAAACGATCTGCCCGGCGTAACGAATATTGTCAAACAAAAATTATAGAATTATATAAACTTTTTATAAGCAATGCCTGATGATAGCGTGGCTATCTTATCAAGGGTTACAAGCGTGTTGCTATATGTGAGTGCATAATTCCGTGTCCACGAGGCAAGAATTCAAAGGGTGGCTGCTCTCGACGCAGCCTTACACATGCCGCATATGTTTATTTTAGTCGAGTTCTATTCAACCAAGAATCAGAGCAGAAGCATAAAATATTGTTTTTGTTTTCATTTTTCCACGTGACGTTATTATCTGATAAAGACGTAATAATTAAGCTTACAGTCGCCTCAGCGTTTATATTTCAACTCCGGTTTTGAAACAAAGCTTATACACTTAGGTTTACTAAACTAACTTATTTTTATAATAAATATCTATAACTTACCCACGACTAAATAGCAATGCAATGTTTCGGGCCGACAAATTGTTGGGTTACAAAGAGTTCGGTTATTCAGTAGTTCTTAATAGAGCAGCGTCAATTCGAAATCTCTACGTCTTACGAACGCGCCACATAATTGTTAATTGTTTTATTTATTATTTATAACACATCCAATGGGAGCACACGGAAAATGTATCTTAAAGCCTTGATATGATATCCTATGTTTAGCTGGATTCGGTCGATACACATGAAATGGTAGCAGCAGCAGCTAACGCCTTGCTCGCCAGGTTCCAACTGATTCTCACAACGCCAGGATATCTAATGGTAGTCGCTGCGGAATAGATTACTACCATATGCTATAAATGCTGTCACCAGTAGCGTAGTCGTACTGCTCGCAGAAAGCTCCTTGCGGGCTTTAGCCTTCGCCTCGCAAAAAGCTTTCGCCTGTTATCAGTCACAGATTATTGAAATGGCCGGCGGATGCTTCGGCTGCGGACTGCTGATGTTTTGATAACGAGGCTAAAACGTAATTGTCTCGACTGTCTATGCAGCAATCAGCGTTAGTTAATTTCGATTGACAGCCATCCCCTCGGAATGTTCTTTGAAGTCGCTTTCCAGGGCCAGCTCCAACCACTGTACTTTTCGTTCCCACCTGTTGCAGGTGCTCTATTAGCTTATAGTATACAAATGCGTTTTCATCAATTCATCGGGTAAACTTATTTACTTTTCAGCGATATTTTTATTACAAATTCTCATGAATTATTTTTACAAGTTCAACATTAAATGCTTCATTAGCCCTTCTCACACAACTAAGGCACATGCGAAATATGTTCCATTATTTTCTGCCAAACGAGACAAACTCAAATGATAAAAAAATAATTGACACCTTAAATTGTGGACAAGTTAGCTTTAATCAGCCTATAAACAATAAAGACAGTCACTCAGTCCTACAAATTAAACGAAATTAAGGTAATTTATGTGGATATGTCTCAGCTAATTAATTTAACAAATGAATCAACACTAATCTAAATACTGGGAGTGAGATAAAGTCAGGTCCAAAGAATAATAATATTAAAATTTAAACAATTAATTGGTACATTATTGGTATATTAACATTCGTGTCTGATGCTGGGTTTGTTGAGGATTTTCGGCTCTACTCTAGGTACTTACAAGTAATTCATAACTACACAACACTCTAAAACATCGTCTATTATTAATGGCTGTAATACGAAGGGGACATCTAAATGGCATATTTTGAGCATGTTTTCTATGATTCCTGTGCGTGTCCTAATGATGCCGTGAATGTATCCTCTTGGCCTTCTGTGTTGTCGTCCAGTCAAGCGTTGCCAGCGAGGGCAGCGTCGCTTCCAACTTTTTATGATTGCTGTCATTATTGTTGTTATTGAAGGGCGCCGACGTCTGCAAGGCGTAGTCCTGAGTCAGAACGATGGGCTGCAAGGTGCTAAAGTTCACGGCTGGTGCGAGGGACGGAGAGGCCGGTGCGTAGCTCATACGTGCTGCTGTGCTGTGAGTATTGGTGGGCAAAGTGTTGTTGAGGTTAGCACTCAGTTGAGATTGGTTCACGGGCAAAGGCGGAGCCACATTCAGATTGAGACACGGGCCAGTTCTGCAAGAAAAATGACATTAGAAATCATACAAGTGGTGCAACTGGTGCTAGTGGGTGATAGAGCCAATCGAAGTGGAAACGAACTACAAAACTGATCATCAATATGAAAAGGATTCTATACGGGTACTGAATAAGGTTGCAACTTTTTGCTGATACGATAAAAATTGTTGTTGGTGGTAAGTGAATCTGAGTGTTATCAAGTGGATGTAGCAGACCTTTTGGCACCAAGCCTCATGGGTATCTATTTATGGGCGGAATCGCCTTTGCTTAACTTGACTCTCATATTGACTGTCACTAGAGGCAGTTTGGTGCTACACGGAGTAAAAAACAATGAGAGTAGTTATGCACAGCACATGTTAAGGAAAGCAGCTCTCTTTGAAGTCCAATATTCAACAGTTCGCCTCACCTTTGTTGAGTTATTGTAAATATCGATTTGCTCACGATCCGCTTGCCCGTGTGCCAAATGCGACCAATGTATTTGATGCGTTGTATGGCAATAATGGCCAGAGCGACAGTCCTAAAAAAGATGAACATGAATTAGCTAGGGAGTTAACAAGGTATACAAAACAATACTTACTTGAATAATTTCTTTTTGTTGGGCTTCGGCTGGCTGACCTTGAACCCAGCTCCCCCAGCGATGTTCTGTAGCGCCAGTTGCTCACTCGCCTGATAGCCCTCCAGAGTAAGCTTCAGGTAGCGCTTCTGATAGACAAGCGCTTTGCGATGACTCTCGACGCGCAGGTAGCGGCCAAGCAGCTGCCGACATCGTTCCTCAAGTTCGCTGGCATTCGCACCCCCATTGCCGCCAAGCTCCTCGCACTTCTTTTGCAGCGCGATTCGCTCTCCGACAAGATACTGTACTGTTTCGGCCATCTGCTTGTTCTCCTGAGTGTTCTCCGCCAGCAGTGTGTTGATTTCCTTCATTTTTTGCAGGAACTGTGCGGGCACTGTTTCCTCCATGCTATGGGCCAAGCGATCGTTGGCCTGAGCCAGGGCTTCCGATAATTTCGACTCGCGCTGGGATGAACGGGCCACATCAAAGCGCAGCTGATTTATCTTCAGCTCCAGACTGTTCTTTTCGGACTCTGCCGTCAACAGCTTCGCCTTTAACTCGTGAATTTCGGCCTGCAATTTCGCCTGTTCCTGATGCTGGCGAGCTCTTGTGCTGGCGCGCCGCGTCTCTGCTTCCTGTAGTGTGACCATACGCGCCTCCAAGCTCTCAATTTCGTTAGCTTGCAGGGTCAAACGCTCGTTGAAATGCTCGAGCTCCATTTCTGCCGATTCCTTGTCGCGAGCAAGCTTCTCCATCTCCTGCTTAAGACGCTCACAGTATGCCACACGCTCCTGGAGCTCTTTTTCGTACCTTTGACGCTCACGCTCACTGCTGCGCTGAGCATCTGCCGATCGTTCTCTCTCCCGCTCATTTTGGGCCGTCAACAGTTTCAGCTCGCTACGCAGTCGGTCGCACAGCTCAGACTCGAAGTCTGCTCGAGGTGACTTGCGAGGCGAGTCCGTAGGCGACTTCAGCAGCCCGCTGCTACGCCGACTCTCTGCTCGTTGCAGGGAGGTAAGCTGAGTTTGTAGCCTATCGCAACGCTCCCGCTCCATGTCTAATTGCTTGTGCAGCTCGTCTTCAGCCTCTAGCACAGCTTCTAGGCGCTTACGCATCGCCTCAATGATGAGCACATCTTGTTCCTGGATTTCCTGCGAGTGCTGTTTCTCGCTGAGGAGCTCTTTGCTCAACGATTCAGCTTGTTCCCGCTCTACGGCTAGCTGAGCTCTAGCTGCCTCTAGCTGGTTCAGCAGATCGCGTTCACCAGTAAAGTTCTCGTCGTCGGTGCCGTGTCCATTTCCATTTCCACGTGAGGGATCAGCCTCCGTCTGTACATCTTTTTGATGAAGCTTGTCCAAGTTATTCTCCTCTTCACTCTCAATAGCTTTGAGTATATTCGAGTCCAGTTGGGCAGAGTAGTTAAGCTCTTTCTCCACTTGCTGGGCGATTTCGTCAACCGAATACTGCTTGGAGCTCTGCTCGCTATTCCGTAGTCGCTCCAGATCTCGCTCCAAGGCTTGCACCTGACGCTGTAGGTCCTCACTGCGCAGCTGTGCCGACTGCAGCTGATCAGCCAGCTCTCGATTGCGCAAAGTCTTTTCCTTGATTTCTGCATTCAGACTCTCGACCTCTCGCTTTCGAGTCGCAGCCGCAGCCTTATGTTGTTGCTCACATTGCGCATGCGCTGCACTCACCAAATTCAGCTCCTTCCGCAGAGTCTCTCGCTCAGCCGCCTCCTGGGCGGCGTTCTCCAGAATCTTCTCCTCAAGCGAGTCTACACGCAGCCTGTATTTCTTCTCGCTTTCCTCGTGGTCCCGAAGTAGTTTCTGTTGCCGCTCAACCAAATTTTTCTCGCGCGAGAGTTGCTCTTGCAAATCTACAAGATTTGCCTCCATTTCTATTCTCTGCTTATGCCTCTCCTCTTCCAGGGCCGAAAGCTTTTGCTTCAGCTGCTGAAGCTCCGGCGACGGCATCGCCTTAGGCAGCTCAGGTGTCTGCATCAACAAGCTGGGCGTCTTTAGCTTAGAGTCCTCTGTTAAATTCGAGAAATTGATCTGTCGCGGCACCAAGCCTGGTGTGAGATCCGCACTGATCGCAGTGGTCAAGCCGCGCGCATTTTGATCCTGAAAGTAGTGCGGGTGCTCAAAAGTATTGACAGGATGAGCCACCACAAATTCACTTAGGTCGTCTGTGCGCTTGTACGTGAGATTCGCGACAGCTTCCTTTGAGGTTTCCTGCAAGAAAAGGATTGTTCTTAATATAGCTGCACTTCAACCCTTGTAACTGCACTTACCATTGTCTGATGGAAGAAGCCGCCCGCAGCCTCAGGCAGTTGAAGGGGAGCATTGAGGCTGCGGCACGTTGCACGACGCTCGACATCCGGTTCAGGGAACTCGGTGATTGAGCCAATGTCACTCAATGTTCGGGCGCTGTGCTTACCACTTGCGTCCTGTTTGCCCCCTGCCGGGGAGGAAGCCTGGCTGCTGTGGTCCTTAGCCGCCTGTAGCTCGCGCTCTTTCGCTTGCAATTGCTGCTGCAAATGGTCAATTTCGTCGTTCTTATCAGCCAGCATTGTTTGCATTAGATCAGGCAGCGCTTGGCGATTTATCATTTCCGTGTGTATAGTCTCCCTGAGCTTTTGCAACTCGTTGCCCTTCTGCAGCACCTCGGCCTCCAAGCGTTCAACCAGACTACGATCTGGCTGTGTGCGCACTGCGAGCTCAGCTTCCAGGCGCACTATCTCGTCTTTGCTGCGCTGCAGTTGCTGCTGCATTGTGGCCATTTGCTTATCGCGCGCGGACAGCTGTTCGCCAAGATTGCGCACATCGTTCTGAAGCTCGTGAATACGTGTGTTGAGATCAGAAGTGCCCGCCCGATGCAGTTGCTCGGCGCGCTGTCGCTGCTCTTCCAGGCGCTTTTGCAGCGTCGAAATGCGATGCGTCTGCTCATCAATGCGGCCCTGCAGCGAGTCACGCTCGTGCTGCAATTCCTGCAAATGCAAAAGATGAGGTCAGACTTTTCAATTCTACACTATGTTGCCCAGATCAACGACCCTTCCATTGATCCCCTCTGCACGGACCAACCCTTTCCAACTTCAATTAAGGCAAATTGAACGAAATCAAATGATGGTGCACAAATGATACTCAGATATACGTATCCATTCTGGGTCTGTAAATACATTTGTATTCTTTAAAGCGGCTACCCACTGCCAACAAAGAACTCTATTGAAGCAGCCTCTGTTCTGCACGAGCTCCTCCCTCGTCATTCAACGAGACTCTTGTCGTGGCGTGCTGCATAGTGTAAACACAGGGAAGGAACAGCCGCAGACAGCCCCAGGTATATTAAAAGACCCCTCAGAAGATTTATTTAGGTACAATTGGGTGCTACTAAAACGGAACAAACTGGGAGAATAAATGGAGCTGCCTTTTCCACTTT